CGGACTTACACTTCTAGAAACCGCGTTTCAATACCCGTGGTGGGCAGAGCACAGATAGCCCATTGTGTAGCTTTGTGCTTAACTTCAAAAACTCAACTCAACTATCTATGTTAAGGTGGCAAGTGATGAAAACCCTGCAGCAATGAAACTTTGGGAACCTACTAAAATATCTTAACAAACAGAATAGATTTCTGATGCAACTTGCTTCTTCCCTTCCATCTCAATGGTTTTAAGTTGTAGATGAAGCCAGATAACAGTGTTAAATCAAATTCTCACGGCTGATACAGCACCAGTTAAGTTGCCAAGCTCACTGAACTTTTACAATCAACAATATGGAAAGTGAAGGGTGAAATACTGAGATTGAATCCCTACAGCAGGGATTCCCAAACGTGGAAAACCCACGAAACACCTGAGTTTCTAGATAATTCTTTGGGAGCCATGCTGAATTGGTGGAAGGGGGAGTTACTATTCTAATATATTTTAGTAGCCTATTAGTGCTCTTATATATAATGTTTTAGTTTTGCTTGCTCAAAAACATTTTAGTATCATTGTTTTATAAATAATTTTAAAATAAAGTACATTTATCTTTTACTGTATCTTGTTCTAAGAACCATTCCGATAACTGCTGTAGCCCACCAATGGGTCGTGATGCACAATTTAGGAACTGCTACTCTGCATGACACAGAGTACACATTAACTGCTACTCGGCATGACACAGAGTACACATTAACTGCTACCTGGAGATGAGATGTATAGAAGTGGCTATACTTTTGTACTGCAATTTCTGGGTGAAATGAGAATTAACGACACCAGATCAAACAAATTAATGAAATCAACTTTCCTCTTCAAAGTTAACCATCACAACTATGTCATTTCAATCCATAAGCCTAATCAAGACTAGATATGACAAATGTAGTTTGATTGACATATTATTATTTGCTTTCACTGATACGTTCTAAAACGTTTTAATTCACTGACTGGGAAAATTTCATGATCAACCCCCTAGTGACAATTGTTCTTGACATTGGAAAGGTAGTTAAAATAATTGTATTAGTTTATTTACCAAATATTATAGCTCTTTGATAATTAGCTTACAAGTCATGGGAGTTAAATAGGCCAACTAATTTTGTAACAACTCTGTATATTGCTATTACAACCTTAAGTCACATTTTCAACGCCCTTAATAAGCAAATTGCTAGAGATTCATGAATTTTCTACACGTACTGCAAACACTGAAATAATGGCACGTGTTTATGCGAATTTTGATAATGTTTCTTACTATTTTTGTTTTCAAACCATCATTGTCATCTGTGATGTACATCTTGTTTCTTACCGACGATGCTGCCATCTAGTGTAGCTCTAGATGTTTCTGAATATTTAATCCACGATCCTCCGATTTTGGTGTACATCATTAAATTTCAAACTTTCTAAAAGTTGCAGATACTCTGAATTATTATACCTAGAAGCATTAACTATATTAGAGTATTTAGCAATTGCTTAATATAATTTAAAATCGCCACCAACAGAACGACACCTTAGACTACGATATGTATTTTTTTATTTTTCAAGTATTAATTACCAGTTGGTAGCTTTTTAAAATAAATCCGTAAAAATTTGATATGACAGATATTTTTTACATAAAATTGGACAGGTTTGTTTGTTACTAAACATAAAGCTACCTAATAGGCTATCTGTGTTATGCCCACTACGAGTATCGAAACCCGGTTTCTTAGCATTATCAGCCTTCAGACTGATTAAAAAGCTATACCAAAATGACAAATTAAAGTAATAACTAACAATTAAAATCATTATATCCAGATCTGATGGACCACGGGATAGTGAAAGGTAAGTTCAAAAATTAGAAATAGTGAAATATTAGTACTGTAATGCCCCCAGTGGTTCGGCAGTAAGTTTGAGTACTTATAACGCTAGAAATGGCACAGCTCATTGATGTTCAATAATCTCTGAAATTGCAATATAAACGAAACATTTTAATAAAGCGTAATTTTCGCTTTCAATTAATCACTTATTTTGGATTAAGGTTCAGCTTCAAAGTTGCGTGAGGTCTCCAAAATATATTCTGAATAAATAGATAAATCAACACAAGGTCAAACAATCAAGATGATTCGTTGTTACGAAACTAAATTAAGCAGTTTTTTATAATTACAAGCTTTTTCTCTGAGATAAGTTTGTAAAAATATATATCATATGGTATATAATATATGTCTCTAGAAAATAGCATTATTTATAGAGAAAGACAAACATTTCAAACCTCGCTGTATCTACAAACCAAAAGTGTCCTTTTTAAAGAGTTCTTTTGCAGGTATAGATTTTACTAAGTTTTGGCGGATCCTGCCTTGTAATGTGTGCATGAAAAGACGAAATTTTAATTAATTTGTGTGTGTGTGTATGAGACAATAATACTTAATAGATATCACTATGTGCTTTATTTTTATAGTACTAATTAAACTGCTTTTGCAATGCTCATTCCTATGAAAGAATATGAAAGTAAAATTACGCTGTTCCTTGAAGTTTTAGAACACATATTAAGCCCCTAGCATTATCATACTGTTCATATAAATCAGTGACACTTTCTAAACACACGTGACACCAAATACCAGTCCCACACATTCCAAATGTAGGGGGTATGGGTGAAGGGAAATAATTAAATCACTGCCTCAAGCTAATTGGTTCTTTATGAAATCATTCTTCAAGTCAAACTCTTTTGCATCATTAAAAGCTTTTCTTTCCGATAATTAAAAATGCTTTATAATATAATTAGCAAGAAAATAGCTCGAAATGAAATCGCCAGTTTATCGTGGAAATGCACAACAAACACAAACGTTTAATTTTGCGAGAATCGACGTAATATGTGCAAATCATGCATTTCAAGGTATACTCAAGAGTTGAAACATAGACTGAGAGAAGCCTCCAACGGGTGCTGTTGTAATTCATAAGCCACAGACTTCTTTGTTTTTGTCTCTCTAGCTCAGAGCTCACGCACTTTACTTAATGTAAACAACCTTGACACTTCACGATCTATACAAATACAGAATTACGTTCACATATAGTGATCTACGTTCCATATTTGTGGGCCTAGCTAGAAATTGTTCAACGCTGTTTATTTTCAAAAAGATAAGCGATTATCTTGTAATGGAGAATTATGCAAAACAGGACGCCCATGGCGGGAATTCTAGGGCCCTTCCCGAGAAGTTTAAAATCTGGGAGCTCTCAGGTGGAGAAAGAAATAATCTGTTATCAGGGAAGGAAACACTAATGTTTTGAATCTTTAAATATAGACTATATCAGGTGATTGAACTGTCCATTTCGGATTCTAGAATTTATGTCAATGAAGACCTATTTACCTGCTGCATTGCATTGGCAGTTTAGGTACTTCGGGGCGCTTTTTTTCTTTAAATGCGCATGATTTAATAGCGTAAGTTCGGTTATGATGTTCCATGGTTATTCTAAAGGAAAACCAGGTGGTTAGGGCGCTCGACTCACAATCTGAGGATCGCGGGTTCGAATCCCCGTCACACCAAACATGCTAGCCCTTTCAGCCGTTGGGGCGTTATAAGTGACGGTCAATCCCACTATTCGTTGGTAAAAGAGTAGCCCAAGAGTTGGCGGTGGGTGGTGATGACTAGTTGCCTTCCTTCTAGTCTTACACTGCTAAATTAGAGACGGCTAGCGCAGGTAACCCTCGTGTAGCTTTGGGAGAAATTCAAAAACAAACAAACAAACAATCTAAACGAAACCTAAAATAAATAAAACAACTAAGACTTGAAAACAAGAAAAATCAAGCAGCGATTTGTGAAAGTTGTTTCGCGTAAAATAACAGAAACTATGCGGGCTACATCCGAGGTTTCTACTTTTATCATACCAAGATATTACTAAATTTCCCCAGGAGCTTGTTTTGCTGTAGTGCGGAATATTAGTTCACTAATCTGACCAGGGAAAAACAAATGGTTGTTATTTATTGCAAAGCTACGTAATGGGTTATCTGTGCTTTGTTCACGGCGGGAATCGAATCCCGGGTTTTAACATTGTGAATTCGTAAAATTACCGCTGACCCATCGAGGGGACAAAGAACGAATGGAAATAATCAAAAAAGTTAACTCTTAAATTAAGCCTGAAATAAAATATACGGAATGAGAAAACAAAATGCTATTTGATATGTTTTAGCAAAAGAAAAAAATATATATGGATTTATCACCTATTATAGTAGATAGTAATTTTAACACAGTAATCTTACAGTTATTGAAATAATTATAAGAACTTCTGAGTAAAGGTGTTTAATTATTAATATATCATCCACACCATATATGCTGTATTCAGTGTCGACGAGGCCTTTCGACAATAACAGGACTCTTCAGACCGGCTGAGGTTTGCTGTGTTTTAGAACAAAACCACATTGGGCTATCTACTGTATCCACCGCGGGGAATCGAACCCTGGACTGTAGCATTGTAAGTCCGTAAACATACCTCTGTCCCACCAAGGGAGGGGAGGGGACCACTGGGTTATGTCAGACATAGTAGTGGTTGAGACGTTATTTATATTAGTAAATTACTTGAACAAAAATGGTTTCTTTGTGAACGTTGATAGTGTAATTTTTGTCAATTTATTCTAATACACTACCATTAGAATTAGGGTAAAGATTTTTTAACACCTTATTGTTTACAGTAGAATATAGGTTTGTTTGTTATGAATTTCGCGCAAAGCAACACGAGGGCTATCTGCGCTAGCCGTTCCTAATTTAG